ATCAGATTTAAATTATAAAATTTAAATTTTTTAGCTAATCAATGAAATATTATATATTGTTTATATTTTAACTTAAATCATTAATAACAAAAAGACAAAAAACTACGAATAATTTTGTATTATTGTTTTTTGATGATAATAAGTTTACGTGAGTTTGGTCCAGGAACTCACCAAGATCATGTCTCCAAGCTCAGAGCGTTAAATGTGTAATTCTTCTAAACTTTGAATTTTGTGGGATAACTTTTTAAATATTCAATATTTGATAATGAATCTTCATAAACATTTAAATTTAATTATGTCCAAAATCTTGTTTCATTTTCTAATAAGATGAGATATGGACAAAAAAAATTATATAGAAATGACATGAAGTGAAATATATTCATTTGCATAAACTCATACGAAGTTAAGAGTGTTATAAGTGAGCGTGTGTTTTAAAATTGAAGGAGAGGTATTTTTTTCTTATCAGCAAATTGAATGAGATATACTGTTAAAGCAGTGCAGTACCATGCTTTACCAATAAAATAACGGGTCAAATAATGTCAAGAAATGCCTGAACAGATTTAAAATTTCAGAAATTTGCTATCAACATTTTAAAAGTCACAAAAAATACGTTACTTAAAATGTAGACCGAGTTTTGATCAATTTTATTTTATAAGAATAAAAAATTGTAAGAATAAGTCAAGGCCTACATTTCAAAGTCTTCACTTGCATACATTTTCTTAAAAAATTGGGAAGTGTGGGTTGAGAGTAGTATAAAATTGTCAAAGATGTTTGGTGTCAATTAATTATGTCGAGGCTTTAACTAACTTTAGCATATTAATTAATGCTATATCTATTTATTTCAAAGTTTTGCCTTTAACTAACATTGTAGTAGACTTAGTAGTAGTAATAGTAGACTAGTCATAGTACTGCTAGTATTTAATTTAATTAATTAATTAATTAATTTTGGACCGTGTTTTGTCAAACATGCCAGCCCAATATGCCTAATTAAGCTGTATTGTGGCTATTGATTAAAAGTTAAACGTCTTTTTTTCTTATTGGATTTCTTTTCTAACACCGATCGTGATTTCTAATTTCTACTAATTATCTTTTGTCAAAAAAAGATAATTTTTTTAATCACCAAAAGAGAGTAATACAAACACAACGGAAGCCAAATTAAACACTCAAAAACACCAAAAAAACTCACCAAACACAAAAAGACAAACAAAACAAAAGCAAAAAAAGCAACAGCAAAATATTAATAATATACTATAATGAAGTAAGCTTTAATTTACTATAATCATCGATCAAATATTCAAATTTACACAATTCTTCAAGCGTGTCTCGTGATGCATGGCCCTTTATCAATAATGTTCGGCAGTTTCGAGTCACACGAGCACGTTCTTTCTAAAGCTTTCATTTTTATTAGTTTTCTCTCTTCATTTTTTGGGTAAAAGATCAAATATTATAAAATAATAAAAGGTTAATTTGCAACCAAAATGTCGAAAAAATAAAAGGGGTCAAGAAGTTTCCTCCAGGCTAACTATGTTCTCTCTTTATTCAGGCCCAAAAAGAAAGATTCATCCGTTCAATTTATTAATTGTTATATTTTATATTTATTTTAAATTATACCCTACATTTTTGAAAATAAGTTATGTAAAAATTATGGTAAAAACAGATATAAGGAATTCAATTTTTTATGGTTACCTAGGCTATATTTTAATTCTAAAATGGGCCTGTTTTAACAATAAAAATGCACTCCCTCTTTTTAAAAATGTAAGACCTTTTTTTTAAAAGTTAGATGTTAAAAATAGAACATATTTTTAATATTTTAATATGTAATCATTATCTTTTTTTAAGAGTGTATCTAATGAATAAATCACTTTATATTTATTTTAGAATGAAATACCTTATTAAATAAAGATGAATATAAATAATAATATAATTTTAAAAATAAATAATTACTTTATTAGAGGTAAAATTTCATTAAAAATATTTTATATTTTTTAATAAAAGGGATATAAAGAAATTTATCAATAAAAAAATATTTGATGTTTGATATATTGAACAGTTACAGTTGCAGAAGGGGTTGTTTAATTTTTCTTTTTCCCACAATACAATGAGTAAGTTCGGCGAATTGGTGTGATTTTTTTTTTTTCGAGACATTAAGAATAAAGAGTGAACTTTTCCTAATTGAAATTAGGATACACGTAAAGGCCGATATTCGAATTAAGGTGCGAAAGTTTCACGTAGTGGTGGTTGGGCTGGAAACAACAAAAAGGAATCTAACACGCTGCTTATTCAACCGGCATTTTTCACTTTTTAAAGTTAAAAGACGAAATAAAAATAATGAAAAATATGACGTCAAGTAATGTTTTGCCACTGTATCATCCTCTAATTAAATAACTGTTCGCAGTCGGCGTCATGCACCATACCCAAAATAAGAGACCACTATAGCTGAATTCGACCATCAATATTTACAAAAGCTTAGCCAGTTTTTTTTTTTTTTTTTTTTTGCACTTAATTGATATTTAATTATATTGTACTACTTTGGAGGTTAGTGAAAAAAGAAGCATAACATGTGGGACGCCAAAGCGTGGTGGTCAAGCAATGGCGGGACAGAAATTATTCATCGTTTGTCTTGTTATCTTTTTCTTTTCTTCTTCATAGAAATGTGTCGTGCTTTTATTTTTCATCGCTTTCTCATGGATCCAAAGACACGTGGATAAATAAAGTGGAAGATGCCAACAGAAAATGTCCCTTTCCATATTCCGTTAGAGATCATCTCCCTCAATCGTGATTAAATGTCCTGCGCAAAGATTGAGACGTCTCTTTGTTTTTGAATGAAGCAAGACATTTTTTAATGAAAATAATCATATTTGAAATGCAGTGAAACACTAAATAATAAAATAGCTTCTCCCAATTGGAATAATTTCTATTGACATCACATGACATATCTTGCCGTAAATATTTAAACCTAGAGAACTTTTCAGCCTCAAGAGTGAAGCAATAAGAAACCTGGAACTTGGAAGCCTCGTTTGCTCAGAAACTCAGACACAAAACGAAGTAACGCAGAAATAATCCCAAGAAAAACTTGTTCGTAGAGTATGATTCTAGGGTTCTTGTAGCGATTGCTTGGCATTTTTCAAAGCATACGACATAGCATTTTGGCGTCTAAGCAATAAAAACGACTCAGCGTTGATTCATGCGACGATCACAATAATACAATTTTGTCGGTTCTTATTTTGTATTCCTCTCATCATTTGGGCTTGTGTTGTGTCTACTGCCTTTACACTCCTCTCTCCCTCTTGCTCAACCGCACCTCAAAGAAAGTGTACTTTTAGTTCTCTATATGGTCATATGTGCTAATTAATTCACGTCAACTGACATTACTATTATTTTAATACAACTAGCATTGTTATCTGGCTGGAATTAACCGATCAAATTAATTCATGAAAGATTAATAATGATTCTAATAATTTGAGAACTATAACGAGATAGAGATTAACACATAATATTTATCAAATTATTGCATGTGACTATTTTTAAAACAATATATGTATTATATATGTATTATATACATATAATACATTTTTGGTAATCAATTAGGCAATTAGGCAACTCTTCCTGAACTATATATGAGCAATACAAAAGCATAAAAAATATATTTAGTCAATATTAGCCCTGTTTCCAGTGTCACATGTGCAGGGGATGGAACTCGATAAATATTAAATAAGCCACTTACTTTTCTCACGGCTTGCTCCATTTTTTATTGATTATTAATTTATCATTACTAGTTACAAGTTGAAATTAAAAGGGTGTAATTACTTAAAGAAGCCTGAATTACATATTTCTTTTTATATGTATCGTAAATTTTTGATAATCCATACATATATCATTATAGTTCATATAAGTAGTGCAATTATCATTTTTCAAACTCCTAAAATAAATAGGAAACGTACCAGGTTACTATTTATATGTATATCTTTATTTAAAGCTAGTTGTTTTATCATTCAAAATTATTGAAGTTAATTTTATTATTACCAAAAAATTATTGCCGTCTCAGAATTTAAATTTTAAAATAAATCTATATAAATTTCGTAAAATTAAAATTTTAAATAAATATATTTTGTTTTCGGCCACCGAATTATTTTTTAAATGTATAGAAATAGTAGAAGACAAAATATCACCTAGCATGCCATTGCCAACATCATTAATCATTGAGGAAACTTATTGCTTGTGTCCTATTATTACCACTGGCTAGGAAACACAAGTCACTTAAGCACGGCGGTATGGCACTAGCTACTCGTGTCTGACTTTTGATTTATATAGTAATTAAGATTTTTAAATCTTATATTTATATAATAATCGTTCCTTGTTGAGTTCATCTACCCTTCCACGTGAAATATATAGCTTTCCTAGCCTTTAATGTTCACTGAAACACTAATGAAGGCATTGTACATGCAAATCCTATACTAAATAAATACTTTCCACTTGAAATTATTAAAGCACTATAAAGATGTTTGGTTAAATTAATAAATTTTCACAAATTAAGCAAAGTTACAACATAAAATCGTTATATTAATTTCAACTCCTTTTTAACTAGTTCTATGTTTGAGAGATATACAGAAGGAAAGTTGTTAATTGAATGATATTCCCGTCACGTCATCCACATAAGATGATATTCGAATATGTTTTCTGAGAATAAGTTCAAATTTAATGATTAGAATTATTCTTTATAATTGTATATAATTTATTATATAAATAATAATAATTTGAATTTCTTACATTAATTTATAGAAGTAATTCTGAAACAAAAAGTTAAAGAGGAAAAAGCGGAGTAGATAAAAAAGAGAGGAAGTTGGTTTGATATTTTCTCAACATTGTGACTTCAGGCCAAAAAATATTCTTGTGACTCAAAATATTCAATTTTAAAGAATTCATTCAAATAAAAAATGTCATATATTGTTTTTGAATTCATACGTAAATGATCTAATTTTCAAAAAGAAGAAAGAAGGAATAGTTGGAGGAGGCGAGAAAATACGTAAAAGGAACAACAAACCTGGAGAAGGCAGACAGAAGAAGGCACAGGAAGCTTACGGCGGGAAAAAGAAGAGCATGAAGAAGAAGAAAAAACCTAAGAAAGCAAAATAAAATCTATAAAAAGCAATCTCTCACACCGACCCTCTCTCACAGTGCTATTCATTTTTCAAAGGGCCGAAACCGAAAGGACTGATTCACCCTGTAAGAAAATCTGCGTTTTTCTATCAAGGAAGAGACATTGAACACACACACACACACACTATTTAAGAAAACACTGATTCAGTGTTCCCTCAGATCTCCGCTTCTCCTGCTCATCATCCTCATCTCACCCTCTCAGGTACTTCTTTCCGTTCGTTTGCCTCTGAGATTCTTTGCGTTTCTTGGAATTTAATCTCCATTTTTATCCCGGTTGCAAGGATTCCTGTCTGTCAGTTTTTCCCCTTTTGTTTTTTTATTTATTTTTTAGTTCTGAGCATCTGCATTTGCTTATGAATTGATCTGATGACAAATGCTTAGCATATTTTGAATTTTTGTTAGCAAGAAAAATTCGAGATATGGCAACAAACAAGGTGTGGAGGAAATGCGGTTTTTATCCTTTTTTTTTTTTAACTAATATTTTGTGGAGGTTTGCTTCCAATGAGAGGAAACGAATCACTCCACTGCTCTTAACTGTTTCAAATGAAACTTTTGGACTCTTAATTGACTTCTTCTTTTGGGACAACTTTTAACGTTTAATCGACAAGATTTAATTTCCTTTCTTATCCTATGCTGTTCTTCCTTTTTTGAACAACCAACCAGAGTCAAGTCGGTTTCTGTTTCTTCGTTTTCTTCTCTCACAGGACTCAGATATTTCATTTATTGATGCATTGCTTTTCTTCTCATCTCTTATCCTTCTAGTCAGATGCATATTAGGAATTGCCAATCTACCTAAGCTGACTTCTCATTGTTGAAAGGGAGAGCCATTCTTGTACTGACGTACATGTTTCAATTTGCTTTCTTTTCCATCCTTATAATTGCATATACAGAGTATAATAATTAGATTTAAACAGCAACCGTTGGAGCATTAACCTGGGGTCTGACTGTCAATGCATATTTACGTGCCCGCATCTCCTCAAATTTAAATTCACATTCAAAGCTGTTGTTTTTACCATGTTAAGATGCAAAGATAATTTCGTCTTTACCATAAATTCTGCTGGTGTCAATTAGCTTGTTGGTCGAATTTTACTTTGATTTTGCATCTGCTCTATTTTCTTTTTCTTTTTTATTTTTTTTTTGCTTGCTTTTGTTTCTGTACTGATACTGTTTGTGTTTCTGGTTTTTCAAAGTTATAATTTGGGCCAAAAAAAGCAGCAGCATAGAGAATTTTGAAAGTTCATGAATGGTGAAAAAAGAATTATAGCAAAATAGCTTGGAAAAAACGGGGGAGCAACGGCTTGTGACTTTATATGTTCCATTGTTCTCCATCTTTACAGACTAACGATATGAGAGCAAGAAAGAAAGGTGCGAAATATGGCTAAAAAACTCTGTTGATACATGTCATTGCTCCATCTTCCCCAGAAAGGTGAAAGTATAAAAGTCAATCTGGGGTGGGTAAGACTCTGTTGAACCAAGTAATGTTCTTTCAAATTATTATTGAAACTTTACTGTTTCTTAAAATTATTCATTTGGCGATGATTTGGTTGGAGTTGGATATTATTCCTACCAGGGAGAGAAAGACAATTGATTATTGTCGGATGCTAAAGAGAAGTGAATGATTCCGTAAGACATGCCATTTGAAGTGTCGGAATTTGTGTTTAGTCCATGATGATAGTTAATTCTTGGTCAAAAGTTGTCTACGATGGGCAGGAGTTAGGGCTTAGTGAAATAAGTACTTTTGTGTCAAGTTAAGAAAAGGCACAAATCTTAACAATGACGTGTTTTTGTTCCCCCTGCATTTCAGGGGAATAAAAGAGCTTACTGGAAGTGACCCTCAGTTCTTCTGTGCTCCGCTCATGCTCTCTGTAGCATTGCTGCTTTGAAGAATAGATGGAAAGCGGTACTAATCGCAGTAGCATTGAGAGTTCTAACAGTCATAAGGGTTCTTCATGGTTCAGTCAATTCCGAAATGCATCCAATCCTTGGATGGCAAGATATGCCTATGCCTTGATCTTTCTAGTCGCTAATCTGCTAGCATGGGCAGCCCGTGATTTTGGTCATGGTGCTTTAATCGAAATGAAGAGTAAGATTGCCTAATTCCTTAGAGAGTAAATGTTTTCCACATACTATTTGTATTTTCTGCAGCTTTTCGGGCCTTCTTCTCCCACCTCGTTTTGCCATTTGTATTATGCAAATTTCCTTCAAACGCTGCATACTAATGAATCAATCTTGGCTATCTTAGAGTCATGAATTACGTGATTTCTTGCTATTTGCATCTGGATGGACATTTATATATACACCATAACAATCTTAATATGCGTTCATTGAATAATTGGTCGGTGGCGAAGCAGAATAAGATAGCATTTGACATGTATTCCAACTTAAAGCTATCGCCTGTATGCATTTTAATTTACTATAACGGCACTAGCTCAAAATCTAGCATATATTCGACTGCTAGGATTGGAAGGATGCGATGGTGGGAAAGACTGCTTGGGTGCGGAAGGCGTTCTGCGGGTGAGCTTAGGTTGCTTTGTATCCTTTGCAATTATAAACATGAAACCTAGTTCACAGAGACGGGCTTTAAATCAGTCTAGCAACAGAGAAGTAAGTCACGATGCATTAAACTAATCGGTGCTTTGGTCAGTGAGGTCAATTAAAAGCCTCTAGACTTAGCTCATTCATTACTCCTTAATCTTCAGAATCAATCTTAATCCCATATCAGATATTTTATATCATAATGTTTTTGTCAACTGCTGGTACTTCTAAACTGAATGAAACCAGAGACAAATGGCACTCCGGGTGGTGGTCAGTCAAGAGCGTTCTCTGGGCTGGAATGACAATCATCCCATTTTTGCTTCCTTCTGGCCTGATTCAGCTATATGGTTGGTAATTTGCATCTTTCAGCAAGTTTCCTCTTAATATTCCATTCTCCATGTGGGTACTAAAGGTTGTGATATATCCTTTGTCATTTCATTCTCCCCTGACACTTTTCGTTTTTGGCAGGGGTGATTGCGCATTTTGGTGCCGGGTACTGCTTGTATCTTAAATATATATTTTAAAAAATCATATGATTCTTTTGCTGATTTGTGATTGTTTAAAATGTCTCAATACATATTTTTCAGGGTTTTCCTCCTTATTCAAATCGTAAGCATAATCAGCTTCATTACGTGGCTGAATGATTGTTGCACATCTGAAAAATATCAGGAAAGATGGTAAGATTTTTCTCAGTTGTATAACTAATAGAAATATATGCTTCATGATGTTGAAAAATTTCCTTCAGATGGCTGTCATTATATCAACTTTGGTGGTTGAATTTTCAATTAAACAAGGCATATTCAGTGGTTCTATCGGGTTGTATATGCTGGAAAGAAGTGAGAAAATATTTAATCTTCTCAATGTAAACCGTCTGCAAGCACGGAAAGTTCTCCAGAATCTGGAACGGCCCACTAGCTATTCTGAGATTGATTCTACTCAAGTTTTTACAAGCTTCAAAAAATCTAACTTGTAGAGCGAAGGATGAAAGAAAAATTAAGGCTAAAACTGTCTCTTCTTGTTCTTTTTGTCCCTCTTGTCTATGACACGTTTGACATTGATATATAGAATAATTTCACTACTAAGATGCCTTATTTCTTAAATATTTTCTCTATTTTCCTTGCAGCCAAATCCATATGATGTTATTTGCTACCATTGCTTATGTTATTTGCTTGGTGGGGATCATTTTAATGTTCATTTGGTACACACCGCAACCATCTTGCCTCCTCAACATTTTCTTCATTACTTGGACCTTAGTACTTCTTCAACTCATGACAAGTGTGTCTCTGCACCCAAAAGTAAGTTTCATTTGTCACAGGATATTTGCTACAAATCCACTTCATTTTCTGACATAACTCGTTAATTTTCCCTGTCATAGGTGAATGCTTGCATTCTAACTCCAGGGCTGATGGGTCTTTATGTTGTGTTCCTATGCTGGTGCGCGATTAGAAGGTAGGTTTCCAATCTTTGCCAATAGTTTTGCTCTTCTATAAATTAAATTCTATTGGATGAAGCCTTGATTTTTAGTCCCTGTTCTCTCCCATAGAAGCATGGGTTTAAAATCGAATAAAAAAGACAGGCAGCCCTTGCAACATAATATTTTCTTTTCATTCTGGAAATTTCTGAGAGAAAACCACCTGGTTTAAGTTTACTACTTTTATTGTTTTTAAAATTATGGAATTTATGATTCTTTTCGTCTTCTTGTCTTCATTTCTGTTGAATTTGAGCTTTAGGATATGTGTGTGTATGCAGTGAACCCGCAGGAGATAGCTGCATCAGGAAGTCAGACTCTGCACCCAAAACTGACTGGCTTAGCATCATCGTAATATCTCTTGTTTCTAATCTTAGTGAAATTTGGGCTTGGTACCCAGAACTTGGTATCTATTATCTGTGACTCTTCGATTGTCTGGTCAATTTGTATGCTTACCACCAGTTTCATGTGGATTTCTCTAATTACAAAGGGCAAGGAAAAAACTGATTTTGTTGCCAGAAAATATAAATCATTACTTCATATGTCTATCGTGAAAACCTTCAAACAAACTTGATAATTTCGCATGTAGGAATATATATTTATCAAATCTTTACACAGGCATGATTATTTCAATGTCTACAGCTTTCAAATGCATGATCTCACGTCACTTTCTGATTCATTAGTTGACCTGTGGCAATGAATTTTTGTTGGCAGAGCTTTGTCGTTGCAATACTGGCAATCGTTGTTGCGACGTTTTCAACAGGCATAGATTCTAAATGCTTTCAGGTGCCCTAGTCATAGAATCTAAATTGGACCTGAATTTGAATATTACTTTCTCCATTCCATGTCTGACAGAACCCTGCAGTTCAGGAAAGACGATACAGATACGCCAGCAGAAGATGATGTTCCGTATGATGTTCCGTATGGTTATTGGGTTCTTCCATTTTGTTTTTGCCACCGGAGCAATGTACTTTGCAATGCTTTTGATTGGCTGGAATAGTCACCATGTTATGAGAAAGTATGCATTTCCACTTACGGTTGATCCATACACTTTTAATTTTCACCTAATGTGCATGCATCTCTTGATGGTTTCCTGTCTCCTTTTCCCCTTGAAGAAAAAAATAGAATAACAAACAGAAGTATGCATCTCCACCTGTTAATCATCAAATGACCATATCCAATTCCAGATGACACAACCCCATAAATTTGGTCTCTATGAAGTCTTCATTCTAGATCTGAATGGTTGATTGTGCTAGAAAAACGATCCGAATTGCTTCTCCCAGGATCTGATACCACTGAAATCATCACATGTTTAATGTCTATCTCATTGCTGGGCATGTTTATCAACGGTTGGTCCAGTTTTTCATTAACACTACAGAGCAAATGCGTTATACCTTTATTCTTCTGCAGGTGGACAATTGATGTGGGCTGGACCAGCACATGGGTTAGAATAGTTAATGAATGGCTGGCAGTTTGTGTTTACTGTAAGTATACCTGGCAAATCTAAAGCTAACATGAATATTATGAATCTTGCCTCAGCATAATAAATTCTGGGGTGTAAATTTTTTTTTTTTTTTTTAATGTTGGGCCACTGATTCAGAGGAACTATTTCTGTATCACTGAGGCATGTGCTAAGAGAAGCTTAAATGTTTTGCACAGCATGGATGCTGATCGCTCCGGTCATAAGGAAGAGCAGGCATAATGATTCTACATAAGAACTTCCAAAATTTCTTAATTATCTCCAAGATTTTATTATTGGCGGAGGGCTTTGGTCTCCAGATGTCCCGTGTATCATCTGCGGCACATGCAGTGAACTCCTCCAATCCTGCATGATAGAGAACGAAACAGTAACACACAGGAAAATCTCTGGCAGAAGGCATGGTTCTGACACCTATGCACAGCACATAGAACGATTGTATTTTTTTTTTTTTTAACACGAAAATACTTAGCCCCCTCCCTCCATAGAAAGGATCAAAAGATATCCTGCTCTGCAGACAAATGCTTCTCCTGTGCGGCTGGGCGTGTACCTCTGAGGGAGAGTCATGTAAAATCATTTTTTTTAATGTAATGTAAAATCATTTGAAGGATGATAATTAGAAATTCAGAATGTTCGATCAGAATAATAGATATAATGTGTGATTTTTTTTTCCTTTGAATTATGGGATTTAATCATAGCTGACAGTGAAAGAACATTTTATTGAATTGCCAAATTTATGAACATGGACATACTCTATTTTATTTTTTTTTAATTTAAGAAGGATAAAACAGAATAGCTTTATGAATAGGAATTTTTTCAAAAAAAAAAAATAAAACTTGCGTATTTGATAGATTTCCCTGTTCGGCAAGCTGAAAAAATAAATTTTATTGCACTAGCAAGCTTCGCCGCAGTCATCAAACATAAAAGTTTTTGGAATTAACAAGATGCAACGTGTTTGATGCATAGCAACCAATATGGATCCACTTTCAACCGTAAGTGCAGCTTCAACAATCTTAACGATGTGATGATCTGCATTTGCAAAAATCAAAGATGAAGTGGATTCCACGTTTTTTATTCATTTGGTTATCAAATGGCTAACTTCTCGAGGGTTGTTAAAAGATCATTTGAGTGCTCCGGAGCCCGACTAGGACTAAAACTGCTACTATGCAAAAGCATCCTCATTGGTCAGAGTAGAATCTGAAGCTTTTCCAGGGAAAGATACAGTGAAAAATAACCAATGGAAGGTCCCCGGTAATGCGATCATCACGGGGTGACGGTATGTCGTTTCTAGTCTACCCTGACGGGCTATGTCAAATTGTAAAAATCCTAGTCTAAAGTTAAAGTCAACTTTCAGAGTTTCAAAAATAAATTACAATGAAAAAATTAATCATTTAATTTTAGACTAATTCCTGAATTTTGACTGACACAGTTTAGTAGCTATAATTTTGACTTTTGAAATTCAATTATTATAATTTTAACATTTAAAATATTAATTTTCATATTTTTAAAAATAAAATTATCATAATTAAAATTATTTTTAAAAACTTAAAAATTAATGTTTTAAATTATTTAAATTATCAGATCTAAGTTGCATTAAATTAAAATTTAAAGAATAATTTGCAATCAAGTTGGAAGCATTTTGTGCTGTCCAATATTTTATTGTTTTTCATTCCTTCCGGTCTCTCTGCGCTTGATCAATTTGGTTCCACGATAGAAGTTTTGCTTTAATTTAAATTTACAAACCACGCATATTTAGCAATAGACGGGTTTTCAAAATGGAACCTGAAATTTTTAATAGAAAACAAAATACTCCCTCCAACTAAAAATATAAGATATTTTTTAAAAAATTAGATGTTTAAAAATATTAAATTTTTTTAATTTTTTAAAGTGTAATCATTATTTTTTTAAAAAAATTAGTTTATTAATAATAATTTTATATTTATTATAAAATATTTAATAAAAATAAATATAAAAAGATAAAATTAATTAAAAAATAAATAACTCAGAAGTAAAATTTAATTAACAATACCTAATCATTCACCTTTGACCGGGGGGTAACAACTAGTCATTCATCGGATACCGACCTTCACATTTTCTCGATACACGTAAAACAACTTGATGTTTTTGACTTTTTGGTATGAAAGAGTGACGGGAAAAAGACACTAGGAGCAACTTTAATAGCCAGTTTGCTTTACGTCCAAAAAAAAAAAAAAGCCAGTTTGGGGAAGAGACTCCAATAGCAGCAGGATTTCAAGTACATCTACGAAACGAGCACGCCAAAATTACAAGATTACGAAACATAAAATACAACAAACAAGAAAATAATACAAATATTGATCACCAAATACACGCATCATCACTCAATCGACGCTACAATTGCAAGCGAACACATGTCGCGTCCAAAAATATTGCCTGCACGAAGGGTTCTCTGCACCAGTTTCGCTCTCCTTTTAAGATCGTCCACCCCACAAACCAAAAAAAGGAAGATCGTGTTTTTCTCATTCCTATAGCAATAAACAAATTTACACTGCAACTGTAGGTATTTGACTTTAACCCCAACGATGATCACAAATCTCTCATTGACTGATAAAATGAAGTAAATCAAAACTTCACCCACATTTGTACAGGGAGCAACAAGATGGTGCGTGTCAAGAAAAGGCCAGATGGTATAATTTTCACATCACCCAAAGGGGTTGCCTCCAGCAGGGAAGGAATTTGCTGCAGCAGGTGTTGAGAACATACCAGTCATCTGCTGATCTGGATTTGAGAAGCCAAAAGCAGCCCCCCGTGCGCCAGAATTCCCAATTTCCTGATGCCTATACATGCAAGTAAAACCATAAATGTCAGAATAGCCAAGTCATCAACGTTTTAGTTCAACCACAATAATTTTTTTTCAACAAAAGATGCAATTATATTGATCGATAATTAGCAAGTCCATAAGGAAAAGAAAAGGCAGGGAAAAAACCCCAAAAAAAAAAAAAATCATAGAACTGGGTCCTTTTAACACAAAAACACCCAAAGGCCCAAGTATACATACAAGGAAAGGAAAACGAGTTCACAGTAGAATGGCAAGAGACTTGCTCACAGAACTTACAGCTAACAAGTTAGCTGCCGAACCAAAGAACAAGTTTGACGTATGGAACAGGATGAAAAAAAATTTGACTGTTGTATGAATTGAGTAAGTAGATATATGATTTTATCCAAAATATAAGCCCCCAAGAGCATGTAACAACCTAACCTATATCAGCCTTTGAAAAATGCAATTACCAACAATCGATAGTACTTACCCAGGCACTGGCATGTTAGTTGGCACTTGTTGCCCCAGGTATGCCCCTAAGATTTTCGAAGCACACTTCAGCATACAAAAGAAAAAAAAAAAGGAATAGTCTCGGTATAAAGCAACTAAAGAAGGTAAAGTGGGAGAAATAAATGTACTCGGTGCCATCGCTGGTGCGTGAACTTGAGCTTGCGGAGGAAGTACTGAACCATATGATGGCCGGGGTGAGTTCCAGGAAAGTGACGGATTGCCCAGGCTCAAGGGGTGTATTACACCTGAAGAAGGTGGTATACTTGGCAGAACACCTTGCAAGGATGACATGGAAGGAAACTGCATCAAAGGAACACAAGCCACAAAAACATCAACCAAAAATTGTGATTAACTGATGAAAATGTCAAGATTATATTGAATCGAATTTCTCAAGAGACTTGAGGAAAAATAACTTTAGAAATGCTAATTTTCTGCAATGACAACCACTGTAATACATATTTCAAAAGTCAACCAAAAGTCAACCACTGAGTTGTTTTTCAGCAGTTATTGGGTATTTATCATTCACTTATGGATATGGTTCCTCTGAGGTGCAAGATGTGCTCAGCAGCTTAGTTGGATTACATTTTTTTATTTTAAAGTTATTTCTGTCAGATGACTTGTATCTCTAATAGCCTAAATAAGGATGAGATGTATGCGCGTGATTGAATTGAAAAGTATTGTGTTTTCTCCATTTTCCATACCAACTGGTATCCATTCATACCCATAAACCTATCTCATCCTATATTTCTAGGCAGTTAGAGATGCAAGCAATCTAACAAAAATAATTTCTCATAACAACAAACTAATCCTAAAAAATCCCGCATAACAACCTATCAAAATATTAAAGATTATTACATTTCTAAATTTCTTTAGAACATTCTTTACAATTGAATGAGCAGATCTCTTATAAGATTGGAATAGGCAATGGCCCATGCTATCATTTCTAATTTGTCACATACTGTTGGGGCTTGAACTGGAGGTGGTTCACTGCTGACGTCAAATGGATTTGTTGATTTTGATGACTGTGGAAAACTTGGCATGGGCTGTAACAGAGGGCAAACAATCGTATGAGACTGGCATTGTACAGTTGTACAAGCCACATGAAAAATAACAATCATGAAAGCTGAAAATGTTGGATTATAACTGTACCGCTGCAGTATTATATTGCATATAGATACCCATGCCATGGGGAGGACGCATTTGCCACCCGGGAGCCAGAGAAGCAAAGGATGAATACTTTGCAGTAAAAAGATCCTACGTAATTTCACAAGCTAAAGTAAGATATACATTACACATGTAGAAGCCCAGACATGATATACATACTTCATAGTTCATACAGCACAGATGAGGGGAGCAAGGAATACCTCAGGAAGTTCTTTTCTTCCACCTTGTTGTACTTCTATTGAAGGCTGTGAAGCAGCGCTAGAGCTAACTTCATTGGCACGTTTCGAGGTAAGAGGGGATGCATGTGGCATTCGTATGCTAGGGTGCCCTTGCATTGTGGGCACTGGAGATACATTCCACTGCTGCAAGATTTTTCCACAAAATATGAGGATAAACAAATACTACAACTGCAGCGGACAGAATGCTTGAGGAAGCTTCTGTATTAAGTTATACCTGACCATTCAAAAATCCACCTGTTGATGGAATAAATTGTTGAGTAGTAGGATGACTACCAGTTGTAGGAAACACAGGTTGGTTGCGTTGCGCACTGGCCCACTGGACTGCATCATTGATTGGCGGCACCATTGTCAATCCAGGGGCTGTTACATAAGTACCACTCGGAGGTACTGATGAGAAGTTGCCAAGAGTTCCAGCTCCAGCAGCAGCAGTGGCAGCTGATGCTGGCAGAGGCCCTGCAGGTAAAAACAGATGAGGCAATTGCTCTAGAAAAAAAGTCAATGCTCCTGGCAATAACTGTTTCAATATTTAGATCACCTTGAACTCCAGAAGCCTGGGCAGGGGCAGGTGATGGCATTGATAGCTGTGAGAGAACAGAGTCAAGTGGACTAAAATTTGAAGGACCTTGGGTTGTTTTCGCCACAGGGGCAGTATCAAAAGATGCCCAGTTGTCATCACTAGAATGTGCTGGCTGAACAGCAGATTGGACAGCAGTAGTTTGTTGAGCTTGGGGAATTGCTGGAGCAACAGGAGGTTCGGGCTCAGCATCAAAATCAATAAGGCTCTTAGTACTCTCAAGCTTAACTTCTGCTGCGTTTCCATTACTAGATGCTATGCTACCGGAAGATGCAGTTCTCTGCAATTATAAGCAGTCAGTTATGAAATATAATATCTAATTGAAATCAATGTCGAGCTCATAACTATAAATGATAAAGGAAGCAACTATTGAGCCACTATATAATGAAAGAAATAAGAAACTAATACAAGATGGTGCTGATGCTAATTGCTGATTCCCTTTTTTATCAGATGCTTACTGAAAAGACCAAAACACAGAAGAGATAATAATAAATTTGAAAAGAACTAAATAAAGCTCAGGTGTATTTCTAGGCACATCGCATTTATTTAACACAACTCTTGGTAACAAAAATCTAAGACCTGAACCAAAATTTAGAAATAGCAAGCATAATAAATAAAAATCACCCTGCATACTTTGTGAATGACTCAGATGTAAGCATGTTTACCTTGTATGCATCATAAACTAAATTTTTGTTGCAACTTGCAAGTAAGAAACCAAACATAGTATTTCTTAAGCAATAAGTAGTCAATTAATCCATATCAGCTCAAAACCAAGAAATGTAGAGCTAGTAAATTCATGAGCAAGATGTTTGGATTATAATTTTTTAAAATCTTGATCTTAAACACTTCCACAGCAATCTGAAGGGAAAACATCAATGAAACGTGCATAAAATAGCAAACCAAGACATCAAAAACTAAATAAAAGATTTGGTAAATTAAAGTTAGAGCAATTTAGCAATGATAAAGAGATTATTCCTAAATACTGAACAAAATTCACAGAAAGGTTGATTGCAGCACCATGGCCCAGATGGTAGCACAATATGAAATATTAATTTCACCTGTGTGAGTGCAGAGCCATCAGCAGCCTTCCCACTGTTTGTTTTGGGCGGTTCACTTATTCGAAGAGGAACTACATTTTCTCCTAAAATATCTCTAACAGGCCGTACAACTGGTGAACTTGAAGAATCAAGATCTTTTGTTCGCTCAGGTGATTGGCCTTCCAGCTTATAATCTCCATCAGATATTCTACGATCTTCAAGTCTTCTTCCATCTCCAAATCTATCTTCACGACGCCAATCATTGATTATTGGTGGACGACCTGGGCTTCTCCTATAATCACCATATTGTCTACTTTCTTGATCATATCCAGGACTTCTTCCACCAGGACTAGACCTGTCACTGTAACGACGCTCATATGCATCCTCATATGGCGGGCTTTTAGATCCTCCCTGATATGTCTCAACTCTTCTGTTTTCATAAAAATCATCTTTGTCACCCTGCACAATATGCAAGACAAATGAAAAGCAATAACATATTATGACAGATCCAACCATACCGAAGAAGAACCAATCAAGTACTAGTTAATCAACTTGCAACCAGGGATGACAGATTTTTTTTTTTTTTTTTGGAGGAGGGGGAGCTGGACTGCCGCCGCCTCCCCCCCCCCCAAAAAAAACACACACACACACACACAGACACAGGGGTATTCTGTCATTGATTAATTAGAGAATCTTTGAAGTCAGGTTACTAAAAAAAAAAATCTATTTATTGCTCCCAAAAAAAAAAATTAATTGAAGAAGAAAATCTCCCCCCCAAACAAAAAAGAAAAGAAAAGAAATATTCCTGATCCATCTCCGCTTGTAACAATCTTTTCATTATTGCAAGAAACAGTGCCCAAAAAGGGGACAAGAGTCAGTTTACCATTTTTCCTCTCGGTGGTTTGTCATGGGTCCTCTCACCACTAAATCTTCTGTCCACATAAACATGCTTAATGAAGTCCCGGAGCTTGTCAATATTACTGCAACCAAGCATGCCAATCAGAAAATTGCCTCCAACATTTTTACTTTGATTAAAAGCTAGTTACCTGCTATCAGGAAGAGAATGACGATGTGGATCCCATTCTTTAAAATAAATTTCCTTTGCACGCTGCAAGGAATAGATGGAGTGAAATTCAACTTAAGAAAAGCAGAAAGCGAGTAGAACTAAATGAACAACTAGAATGACTTTCAGAAAAAGCAAGCTCATCCACCTGATTTCCTCCTTCCTGAAGTGCACTAGCTTCTTGTGAAGTAAATTTAGCCATCGAAATTGACTTAACTCGATGTGTGAATTCCCGGCTGGAAAATATCATGAAAAACAGTTCAATTGCAAACACAGTGCATGGAGTATAAAGTAAATGCCACTCTCCTCTCTCCAATCCATTGAGCTATAACAAAGTGCATCTTATACTCACAACATGAGAGAGCAATCTGTGATTAGACACATATTTGAGACCTATATGCTGCTAAACACTAATAGTTTTTGTACTATATGAATATTGTTAAACATAGACTGTAAAAAGTAAAAAAGATGTCCAGTCCACTCCGATGCATGCAAATGAGGATACTGATCAGGTGTAGCAGACCACCACACACTAAAACACATGCATCAGGAAATCAGAAAGCAGGATGAAAGAACTTACTGTATTCCACTACAGTTTGTGCAAACAAATGTCCAAAAATTTGTGCATACATACTGCGGTCCCTGCTTGGCAGGAAAAAGAGAAGAGAAAAATATTAATGTAACAACCTGGAAAAGTACAATAAGACCATTCTAAGCAATGGGCATATAACATCAACAACAAGTCTTATACCACTACATGGGGTCAGTTACATAAATTGCACAACATCATTGTTACATAACCATAATTTTAAGAGAAGTATTTAGTGTAGTATTTTTGCCCCTAAAACAATTCAAGCATAGCATTTTCTGCCCCGATGTTAAATAATAGATGTTGACCGTTCATATGATATGAGAGAAGGTAGTTTAACTATCTAATGGACGTTTGTGGGTATTATATTAGGGTAAAAAATGTTACATTTTAATTACTTCAACAGCAAAAATGCTACACCAAATAATTTAGGGTGTTGGGTGCTCCTTGAAGAATACTTTAAAGGCAAAAATACACCTTTACCCTAATATAAATTCAATACAATCTTTGTTTAAGATTCTCCTTTCTGTGGGATTTAAAACCTCCTGAGAACTTCATCAATCCAATAATATCTTATGCTTTTAAACACATATCCTTAAAGACACCAAAATTGCACTAAAAATTATTTACAATTTTGTCCAGAGAGAACCAAAAATGTTCATCTGATTCCTTGAGACTGATTAAGATAGCAATATATAGTTAAAAATGTTTTTGTTCTCAATATAGCCTAATTTGGAGATCTTTACCATCTAAATATGGCCAATCTGCCTTTTATTTTGGCTCATATTCATGATTTTCAGCTGAACTTCAAATAAATGATTAAGAAAATTTGAAATGACATAATCAACTCATTCTAAACAGCTTATTCTCAACCCCTTGAGCTACAAATTTGAAAATTAATAAGTTGTGCGCTCGATTAAATTAACCTAAACATAATAAACATTCAACAAAGCTCATGATGCCAAACAACTCTGTGTAACTCAAGATAAGCCCACTCAATCACCATTTAGTTGATATTTTCTAGAAAAATCCTAAAAGTTCCTGCCCTTAAACCCAGAAAGAAGGATCTATTATAAAACCTGAATTTAAGTTTCTCAAAAAAAATTGAAGACAGCAGTTTTTCTATCATTTTCTAATTTTTATTCTAGAATTTTTAGCTTCCTAAAAAGTTTTAAAAAAATAAAAATCATTGGGCTTAAAAATAAAAGGCTCTTTAGAAGGGTAATTGACTCTGTAGACTATAGTCATCATTAATGAAAACATAATGCAAAAAAACACCTATTTTATTTAAGACAGGCCCCTTTTCTTCTGATAAAGGTTCTGAGATAAAAACTATTATTACATAAAACAATAACAAAGAAGGAAATGCATGCTTGTTCTTAGAAATACAAGATGAAACCAATACTTGTTCTTAAATTTATCATCCATAGAAGTACTTGTCATTAATCAATGGGAAACAGAGAGAGAACTTTGAAAAGAATAAAACTTCTACACATAGAAAGTATGTTGATTAGGGCCTCTATCACAAAGCCAAAATCTATCTTCATACTATAATTTTCCACTATTGACACTTCAATGACATATTTCATTGGTTCACAAGCTATAAACATGATAAGTCGTACTGCCTATACTGCCTATTCAAGAACATTCAACTAGTACAAAGAAGAAATCGCATGAAATTAAGCTCGATGACTCATTTAATGCAATCCGTCCAATCACATTGCTTCTGCTAAGAAGCAGTTTAATATAAGCTAAATGGCATCACTATAAAGTATAAACGAATCCAACACTAAGCCATGGATTGATCTCATATATAATCCAGAAATTCGAAATAAGACGCTAGAAGTGAAGATCACATTAATGACTCAGGACTCCTAAATCCAAAATAGAGAAATCTTACCAGGCTGCCGCAATTAATGCATCTGCGATTCTCTTGAAGTTTCAGAAGGCCCCGAATTATTCGTTCATTCTTCTCATCTTCCTTTAGTCGGTTTGCCATCTCCACCACTGCACAGATGACATAAATAGTATGTACCGTACAGAATATGAAACGCAAACTGAATTACAAAAGCTATGAACGCCCACAAGAACCTTTTCCCTATGATTATCAAACCCCCATTACGTTGCTCAACAAGTTATAGAAATGAGCGAAGCTAAACTAAAAAAATCCGCGTCAAGCTCAATAGGGACTGAGAGTTGATTTCTAAATAATGCATATCAAATTTTGAAAATAATCTCGCTTTCCTCTTATACGCCAACAATTTCCCGGCAACTTAAATAGACAACATACCAATCGAAGGAACTAAACATACCAGATCTGAAACCTAAACAATTGCCTAAGGAGAACAAAACAAGCATGCGATACTCAGAACTCAATCAATTCTTGCTTACAGCCCCAAAGGAGGAAGACGGTAAAAGTTGACAAGAAAAGGTAGGAAAGAAACCGACCTGTATTTTACTGCAGACGAGGAAACAGTTCAACTTCTGCAGCTTTTTCCTAAGCCAAAGGTGATGATTAAGAGATCCGACCACTGCACACAAACAGATCTTCCTGAATTGGTAATTACGGCAAGTACATACAGCTCAGAGAAGATTCCCAAGTCTGCTTCGGAGAAAAGAATCAATGGAAAATAGACAGTGAAAGAAGGGGGTTTGGTAATTTTTCTTACGGAGTTATCGGACAGAAAGGGTGCAGTGTCCGTTGAGGAGTGGTGTGCCTATTTACATGTGTGGGTCTCATGGCCGATTTGTTGAATTTGCTAGGACGGTCCACGCTCTGGTCTTACATGGCGTCTCTCCGCCTCTTCCCCCGGTAAAATTACCTTTCCACATGAGACAAGAGCAATTGATAGCACCGTTTTTTTTTTTTTTTTTTTAATTTAGGCATTCATTTATATAAAATTTTTACTAAACTACGTTATTTATAATATATCAAATTAAATTTTGAATTTATATATTATACATATTTTTATAATTAAATTAAAATATTGTATGATACTTTTTTCAATTAAAATATTGCGATACTAAACTAAAACAAAATATTCATTTTTTAAATTGCCCGAACAAGTTATCTATTCATTTTTATTTTATTTGGATTGTCATGACCAAGATATCTTGCTTTGTTTAACTTTTGCTTATTTTACAATTACGGAGATCTTCCTTTCGAAGCCTGTTATTGAGACTTTTTCTTTCTGGGTAAATAACGAGATGTTATATTTTAAAGAGATTCAGGGAACATATTCTTTCATTTGTTTAACATGTCCAAAAATAGGGGCACTTAATGCTTTTTACTATCTTATAAAAAAGGATTTTATATTTAAATAAAATAATCTTTTCAAGCGTTTCCCAACTAATTATATCGCTGCACGCTGCAGCTAGTAGTTTCATTTTTCATTTATCGTAATATGTATAAAATTCAGTTTATATTAATCTTTTGCTTATGCAAATTATTATAATTGTTATACTATAATATATAATGTATAAGCATACAGATATCGTGTGTGTGTGTGTGTGTGAGCGAGCGCGAGAGCAATTTTGGAGTGCGATCAGTCGCCGTCCTTCAGGCTTCAGGCTGGCAGGGTAAGAGAAACAGTGGTCACTGGTCAGGCCAATCTGGTCAGGGTATCACTATCATTGTGTTAGTTTAGAAGATACCCCGGACTCTTCTTTACAAGTTATTTTTTATTAATTTTATTAATATTAATATAAAAAATAAAAGTACGTAAAATTTTAAATATATTCTTATATAATAAATTTAAAAAATAATGATACATTATTTTTTTATTATAAAGGATAATTTTAAAAATAATTTTTTAAATATTACTGAAAAAAACCGCATCATAACTTATAATAATTTATAAATAGAATTAAATAAATTTTTTAGAACGTAATTTATAAATGAGATTGAAGAGAGTATTTAAAAAATAAGGTCAAGAAAAAAGAGAAGAGAAGAAGATAGAGAACAGAGACGTCCAAGAATGGTCGTACATTTGTATTTATTTATTTAAAAATAATTACCTACATTCTCTTAGATACAGAAAATCAGTATCTGTAATTTTATATATAACAAAAACTCCAGGACATGGATCCACATTTAGATTTAGTTTCACTTATAGTCGACTAAAATGCGCATGTCATGGCCGAACGTGTCTAATTATTCTATAGAATAAAAATATAATATTATTACCAAATATACTGATGATCTACTTAAATACATGTCATCATTTAAGACAGTAGCCGGAACAAAAAAACATTGATACTAAAGTAGCTTGATATATTCACACAACTTGAAATGAGTAATATGGATTTATAATTTATGAATAATGCAACTCCTGTATCTTTTATTTTATATATATGAATTGTGGGCCACTTTTGAAATTCAACCTTGCGTTGACGGTTTGAAGTTTGAACTGAACGCAGTAAGCATGCTAAAGATTGTTGGATTCCCTGTAAATTTGATTTCTTTTAATGTATGTGTTCTTAGGATTCCTTAAAACATTTTCCCCATGCTACGAGCTAATGAAATAAGTTACGACAGATATATGCACATTGCTAAATTGAAAGATAATTACATGCGTGATTGTGTGCAGTGTGCACTTCTAATAGTGAAGTGTATATTTATAGACTTCTTGAGAAGCATTGAGATTCACTGCATTCCGGTCTCCAGGAGCTCATATTTCAAGTCCTTTTCGTGATGGTAATTACTTTCTTTTCTTGAGCCTCGCAGTCGTGGCCATGGACGTGATCTACTTGAATTGATAAGATCACTTGAATTCTCGGCATGCATGCTCCGCGGATCATACTCACATTTTTTTTAAAGCCTGGGATGTCTTCCACTGTCTTATTCATAAACTCGCATCAACAGGTTTTTTTTTTTTCCTTTTCTTTTATTAACTTTTTTTTGGTTAACTCACATACTTACGAGAATATAACGTTAGGCACCTTTAATGTGCCCTTTTATAATACCCCTTGTAATGTCCCAATTTCATTTTTCATTGGATCATTGGCTTCTATATAAAATAAGAGACATTTGGATATCTTAATGTCCCAAAATGATAAAGATTTATATTGTTTATGATTTTTTAAAAATAAAAGGGTGTATTTTTGATATTTTTTTTTAAATTATAAAAAATATAAATCTTCACCATTTTAAAACATCAAGATATCCAAATGTCTCTTATTTTATATAGAAGCCAATGATAAAAAAAATAAAAAATAAAATTAAAAAGTTGAGACATTATAAAAAGCATTAGAAAAGGGCAAATTAAAAGCCTCTAACTCGAGAGTATAGGAGGGAGAGAAGAAATCCAATCCCCATTTTTTTTAATACAAAGTCCATACCCTCATTTCTTTCCTCAATCGAACGTTCCTTCATGTGTTGGGCATGTCCTTCTGTCGTTAAGCTCAACTTTATTTGTTTCATGGAACATTAATATTAACATTGATTAATAATACGTGGAATTGTTTTTCAGTCACTGAGCTGTCAATACTTCAATTTATTATATGAAAAAATTCATCTTTAAAAGTCATTTTTTGTTGTTGTTTTTCATGCATGTTTATATTTCATCGAGATTTAGAGTTGGGAGGTCAGCAAGTCCAATTATTAACCAATGAAAAAAAAAAATGATGGGTGGGTTTAAAAAATATCACCCCACATAAGAACGGGCTGATTTAGTGATTTTGGCTTAGTTCGTGCATTTACAAATGCACGGAACCCATTTTTTTAAAGCTGAATTCTCATGTTGATCTGAATTCTCTCCATTCCCTTCCGCTCCCCATCCCAAGCGTTAGATCATAAATTGAATGTTTTCAGATTTAATATTTTATAAAATTGTTAATGAAATGCAAAATTATTTAAAAATAAATTAATCATTTTTTGGTAAAAATATAAATGAACAGCTAGGAAAGTAGTAAAAAACTATTTTATAAAATATTAGACCTGGACCACTCAATTTTCATTCTAATAGATTAAGAGAAGTTTTGGGGAGTGGGGGGAGTCCAAGTGGAGAGGCTAGCCCACGTTTTCAACTTCAAATGGCAATATTTTCTATTTACAACCATTAAATTAAATTCACACAATGTAAATGTAACAATGTATAAAATTATTATTATACAAAATAAAAAAAATCATTAATTTTTAATGAATAAAAATTATTTATTGGTCATCTAAATTTGACCCGGCTGCTTTCCCCCATTCTTGGAAAACTTTCTTAATGAAAATTCTTTGAAATAAGTTCCCTTCTCTCCAACTTTTAAGAGGACTTTCATTATCTTTATTTTTAAATACACTAGCAATCATTATGAATGAATTTAAATTTAAATTTTAAACCACGAGTTGTTGCGTCGCTTGTTGCTCTCTCTAATTATAAATTACTTTAAATTACTTTGTCATAAATCGTAATTAAACTATTATTTTCGTACAAGAAATTTTTAATTTATTTTTATTAAATGTATCATGTTTTAAAATATTTTTTTCCATATATAATTGTTTACCCTACTCATAAAAAATCATGAAAAGATAAATTTAAAAAATAATTAATTAATTTATCCTTATAAAAAAAACCACCAAGTTTTCATTGGAAAGTTACTTATATTATTGATTATTGATATTGATATACACAACATATTATATGCAGAGTTTCGGTACTCATCAACTAATGAGCAATATGGATCATTTAGATTTATCAGTTTTATTTTTATATTTTATTATATATTTATTAAAATATAAAATTTTAATAAATCTACTTTATTATTATTCTGGGCAATATAAATTTAATATAAATGGTTCAATTCAATATTAGTTTTTTTTTATTTTTATAAATTGAACATTCAGATATACTCTGGACAGATTGTGTTCAGAGTACATCTGAATAGCCAACTTATAAAAATTTAAAATAAAATTAATGTTAAATTGAACCATTTAAATTAAGTTTATATTATTTAAATTGATTATAAAATATATTTATTATAATTTTATAATTTTTTATAATAAATATAAAATAAAAATAAAAAATAAATTCTACAAAATCTGGATATTCTCCATATGCTCATCAATTTAATATAAAATTTTATATGCACGAGTACATCAGTACACGAAATGAGGGAGTATGTGTCAATTGTCTCAGTTCCCGTTCGTTTTTTTCACGGGCGCGAAATGAATCAGCTTCAGGATTACGATTATCTGCAGATGTGAGCAGATCAGCAGGGCAAATAAGGTGAAGTCAAAATTTTGCACTCTTTTTCTGGAATACTAGGGAGAACACGAGGTCTAAAACACTCACCATGTGTAGGAACTCACACCCAGAGAACGCTAAGGTCGAATTTAAATACATTGGTCTGAATTTTGTACGTTTTTCTGTACAGTGGAATATAGTAAGCAAGAAGCCCTAACAGTCTGCAATCAGTGATGGACTCGCAAGGCCGAAAATCGGCAGCGGCGAAGTCTGAGAGCGACGACATTGAAGATGCACCGTTTCAGTGGGCCTTACGGGGAACGGAGGCAGCCAACGACGACGAAGCCAGCAACCGAGAGGAGATCTAGAAAGTCATCGGAGCAGTGTCAGCGGTGACGACGTGGATCGATTAGCCTGAATGTAGCTAGAATCAGAGTCCGATGACGATGTGTCTGACGGAGACGAGCTTGAAGTAATAGGTGGAGAACTTGAAGACATTAGCCAAGATGAGGGCGAGGTTCGAGAGATAGTTCATGTGAACGAGGGAAAAGTGAAGGCTTTGAGCGAGGGAGTTTTCGTTCCTAAGTGT